ACCAGTGAGCCCTCTGCCTTTCCTCGTAGGTGACCCTGCCCGTCTACCTGAACTTCACGCGTGCAGACCTCATCTCCACGGTGGACTTCGAAATCGCCACCAAGGAGGACCCGCGCAGCTTCTACGAGCGCGGCGTCGCTGTCCTCTGCACGGAGTGACCGGGCTTCCCCAGGTCCCCGTTCCGTGCTGGCTAAATGCTCCATTTAACATTGACTCGTTATCAGAACGTTTGCAGGGTGTGCACTTGTCCCAGGAAAGTCGTCGGTTTGAGGTTGGCGGAACGTGGACGAGGCCCGACACCTGGACTGGTGGGAACTGGCGGGCTCCACACACGTGTTCGCGGGTTGATCGCATGGCTCGTTTTATGAAATAAAACACTAAGCATGAGCCGGCCCCTCCTCTTCCGTCCAGGCGCTGGTCCCAGGATCCTGCTGGGTCGTGAGCGCCTTGGGCACTAGGGCAGCTCAGCTCCAGCTTGGGGAGCCCACTCAGGGCCACGGGACCAGCCAGATGTGCCCAGAAAGCTCAATACCTTAGCTCGTGCAGCCCCTCGTAGTGGAGCCTGGCAGTGTTCTGTGTCACAGGTGAGGGCGCCGACACCGTCATCGGGCTCTGTCACCCGTCTGTCTCCTCCCTGGCCCCTTCATTCCACAGCTCCTAGGGTGGCAGGAAGCAGAGCAGGCAGTAGGCTGTGTGGTTGCGTGGGACATGGAGGGTGACAGGCATGGTGGCTTCTGGCCTTTCCTGCCCTGCAAGAGATCTGGGATGATTGAGTCCAGGCCTCAGGCTGTGATAAAACCTGTTCTTCCTGCTGGTGGCCACCAGGACCGGCCACCGGCCACCATGTGAACTGTTCTGGGCCACCAGCAGAGTGGTGGCCTGAGGCCTGACTGGATATTCAGGCCCTGCCTCCGAACCCCAAAGGCTCCCGTGAGCTGCCGGCTCCAGCTGTCCCCCAGCCTGAGACTTGGACTCAGAGCCGGCTCCTCACCCGCTTCTCGAACGTCCCACCAGGGGTCCCTAGGTGGCTGACTGCAGTCCAAAGTTGTATTCCATTGAAAATTGGGGCCTATTTTAAATGTTTTTCTCTGAACCAATAAATAAGGATTCTCAGGTTTTCTACAGTGGGGGTGCTGGACAGTGCTGCATGTGGTCCCCTGAGAAGAACTAGGATCAAGTGATGATGGGGAGTTCCACAGAGACCCCACCATGGGCGAGGGCTCCGGCCCAGCCCTCCCGAGCCCCCCCCACTTACAGGCAAAGGTTCCACACAGGAAGGGCGTATCCTGTGAGCCCAGAGGCCCAGCTGGGAGGGAACGCAGAGCAGAGCAGCCCCCAATGAGGCTGGGGCCTGGACGCCTGCCCGAGGGCAACAAGCAGAAGCAGCTCGGCCACCCGCTGAGGTCGGGGTCCAGGATTGGAGCTCCCCCTTCAAGAGCTGCTGTGTGGGCCCCACGAGGAGTGCCCAGGGCACCTACTTGCTGCCTCTAGACCTAACACCCCAGGTGACCAATGCCCAGGGCAGGCTCCTTGAGCCCCATCCCCACACCCTGGGCCTAGGCGTCCCCCACCTCTGGGGCCATCCACTCGCCCTGTAGTTGAAGGGCCAGGCTGGACAGGGGCCACAGCCCTGCTTACCTGCAGAGCTGGCAGAAAGGGGCCCAGAGCACCCGCCCAAGGGGCCAGCCCACCGCCCCCAGCACCCACGCCCTCATGGGGGAGAGGCGCCCCGCCCCCCAGGAGGGACAAATGGTTCTTCGGGTGCATTCCCTTTTATTGGCACTCGGGACAGTGGCCACAGCAGAGGGACTCAGCCACCTGGCGCTGACACCAACTCCATTCAGGTGCTCCATCGTTCTTGCCTACAAGAGGGAGGAGCTGGTGGAAGCGGGGGATGCACAGAGGGCACTGCCCCCCCCGTTATCACGTGGTGCTAAGTCCCGACCATGGCCACACCCACCAACCAAGCGGTGTGACTGAGCAAGACGACGACGCTGTCTGCGTCTGTCAGTGTGAGCCCCGCCCCCCATCGGTCCTCACCGCGCCGGCACCCCCTTCCCGAGCTGGCCGCTCACCTGGCACTAGGCCGCACGCCGCTTCTTCCTCTTACTTTTTTCAGGCTCTGTGAGTAAAAGTTCCAGTTTCCTCTTGGACAGTGAGAGCTTGGGTCCCTTGTCCCTCTCATTCCCAAGTCTGGGTGGTGGCCGTGACACTCTGGCTCTGCCCTGTGCGCGTCTGCCAGTCTCAGGGGGCCCCACGGCAGAGAGGAGGGGCGCGCGGTCTTCCTCCATCATTCTCGAGTCCTCTGGAGACCCAGAGAGCCGGGCCGCCCACGCTCGCGCCTCGGGGCTGCCGGCCTCCGCGGGCTGCATGTCCACGTCGTCGGCCTCCAGGACGGCGGCGCCCCCGCCGGCAGCTCTCGTGGGGAGGTCTGGCGTTCTCGAGGGAGGGTCTTCTAGGTGAAACTCTGGACCGCTGGACTTGTGGCAAGGCTGGTTAGAGGCCACAGCACACGGAGGACAGGTGCAGGCGCCGGCGGAATGCCTGGGCCCATCTTCTGAATCGTCATAGGGATCTAAAAACTGACGCCGCAGTGTGAGCTGTTAGTTCCCCGCAGTGGGCCCCACAGGACGCACATTATCTGCTCAGGTTACTTCTTCCATCACTGATGTTAGTCTGCCTTGCAACTACATCCTTTAATACAGGGGTCCCCAACCCCCAGGCCACAGAACCGGGGCCGCACGGCAGATGCGCAGCAGAAACCGAGGGAAGCTCCAAAGGTATCTGCGGCTGCTCCCCAGTGCTGGCATCACCGCCTCAGCTCCCCCTGAGATCACCAGGCATGAGATTCTCAAAGGAGCACCGGGCCCTGGTGCCACAAAGGTTGGGGACCACTATTTTAAAATGCATTCGACAAATATCCCATGGCACTCAAAAAGCCTCAGGGTCCACTGGCGCTGGGGGTCCAGCCTGAGCCCCGTCATTTAAAGGGCTCCAGGTACAGGCCTGGCTGGCTCATCCACGCCACCCAGCCCAGCCCCAGCTGTGCGACGCCATTCCCTCCCAATGTCCCCTCCAAGGCACCGTGTCCCTGGTAGACAAACTCAGCCCTGTTCTGTTCCCCGAGCAGGCCTGTGCAGACGCCGTCGTCCCTCCCACAAGGCAGCCAAAAGACGTTGAAACAAGCACTTAATCCAATCGCTCCGTTTCCAAAGGCCTGTTCTCAGATGCAGGGCAGCCGCCGCCTGACCCCTGACCCCTGACCACTGGCGGCAGGAGGCTCTGGAGTTTCTGGCCATCTACTAACACCCTTCTCACCCGGCCTCTGTGCCTGTCACCTTCCCACCTCAGTGCTCTTGGCCGAGTGGCTCTGCAGTGATGGTACCCACAGAAAGCCTAAGTCCCTGTGGCCAAGCACGGTCCCCTCCCACGCCAAGGCCCATGAGCCGCATCTTCGATCTCCCTCCAGCGCTGTGTCGAGACATCCCTCCAAACACGCTAAGACTCGGCCCTGCGAGGCCGGGACTCAAGCAGTTGACAGACACTGCATGTACCCCGTGTCCCCCTCCTCGCTGGGCGACACACCCAGGGAGGACCCACAGGGCCCCCCGTGGGTAGTGAAAACCCCCGAGAGCACTCACTTCCTCTTTGGACAGTTGACATATATTCCAAAAAAAAGGTAAACATGGAAATAGTTAAACGCCATAATCTATAGGCAACTGTAATTGTTTTAGATTCAGAAAATGGTCGGAACTGTAGAATTCACAAAGCCGGAAGCCACTGTGTGACCCCACCACACACACACAGAGCAGTTAGCATCCCCCCAGACGGAGCGTGGGGGTGGGCTGCGACATTTATTCACTCAGTTTGAAGAATGACTTCACGGCTCACACACCTGCTCTTTGATGTTACCTCACGTCTTAAAACCTCTGAGACCAGGTACTAACTACACCTCATCGGATTATTGAGATTGATTTTAATTTTGAGACTCATTTTGAAATTGACTAATTGCAAACTGATGGTCTCCTCAATCTTCCAGGCAAACCACTGATTCTTTCTCTTATTTAAAAAAAAATTTGAAAGAGAAAAAAGAATTTAAACATCAAAGTGCATTTTTCCCCCAAAATCCGGTACCACCACTGTGGAGAAAAAGAGTCCACACAGCAGGCCTGGGACCGCACTCCCTAGAAAGATCTGCTGACAAGGCTGGCCCCTGGGGACCTGGACATGGGGAGGGCTCCTGCCACTCCCTGCCTGAGAGTGGCCACTGGCTCATGCCACAACTTACCTCTCTCCAGATTCCAGCAACAAAGTCCATGTGGCTCTTGCTGTGACTGGCCTGGGGAGAAAAGGCTTAAATAATCCTTTCTGTCGAGGGGGACAGCAGCTTCGTGTTCGAAGGCAAGACAACAAGCGTGCCCACTGCCCACGCCAGCGGTCTCTGCCACACCGGACGCCCGGGGGATGGTGGCCCCGGCAGGTAGGGCGTGACAGAAGCTTCTCCTCGGAGCCTGAGCAGAGGCAGAGGTCTGGTTTGAAGGACTCGAATGCAGACCAAGAGGCCTGCAAACGGGGAAAGCAGAACCAGGAACGCAGCCGGGAGACGGCGCGTGCGGGAGGCAAAGTGACCGTTGACCCTGCACGGCCCCCGGCCCCTGTTCTGGACCCAAAGCCGGAACACTGTGGACGACACTAGGTCATCCATCCTGACCCCTTTGTTCATGGACCCAGATGTGGCCAGGCCTGGCTCAGGGCTCCCGGGGAGAACCCGGGCTGGCGTCCGATATCTAGAACGCTCCCCACAGCCCCAGGCTGCCAGGAAAAGCAACTCTTCTGTTTTTTTCTCGATTGAAAGAAAGACCCCCAAAGGACAGGAATTCAAATCAAACACCTCTAATTTGGGGAAGAGAGAAAATGACCTGTAAGGGTGACGCCAGGGACCCCTGAGAACTCTCTCCGTGGGGCTTCTGGTCACAGGCACCCAGGGCCCCTCCCCCGTCCGGCCGCACCCCAGCGGGAGGGGAAGGCTGCCCGCGGGAAGCACCTTGAAGCGATGGAGTGTGTTCCTCTGCCTCTTCTGGAAGCCGGCCCGGGTGCCCGTCACACTGAACGCCGCCCTGATGCAGCCGGGCCGGCTGTACCTCAGACCAAGCATGGCTCGGGCGGTCCGGCACGGACGTCTCACTTAACTGGACACATCGAGTTCACGGGGACAAAGCACAAGGCAGTGGTTACGGGGGTGGGCGGGGCTGCCCACGTGAGAACAGAACTTCCTGGAGCCATGGACCAGTTCTGTCTGCCCCACAGGCCGCGTCTGCCACAGTCAGAGCCGTGCGCCCCGAGGGGCGAGCTTTACCGTAAGCGATACCCCAGGAAGACCGCTCTAGGGCGTTTTCAAAAATCTTTCTCGTTAAAACCCACAGGCAGGTGCTGGCGTGGGCGTGTAGCCCAGATCGATCATCCTGCAGTGGGGGGGCCCCTCTGCTCCCAGATGCTGTGTCATCAAAGCCCATAGAAAATGTCACACGTCCATGGACACCGAGAGTTCTAGACCATTACAGTGGCGGGCGGAGCACCACCTAGCTCAAATGTCCTCCCCACTCTGCTTGTTAATGGAGAAGAAATTTTAAGCCCAGGCTGGGGACTGACTCCCTCAAGGTGACAAATTCTGAGAGCCTTTCCTAAGAAGTTTAAAGTTTTTAAAGATAGTTTAAAAAAAAAAAGCCATAACTTCCCCGGCCCCCAAAGAACAGAGAGAAAATCTACTCTATAAATAAATAAATAGATAAATCTGAGAGAAGCAGAGATACAAACCTGCTTGGAGTCTCATGTCACTTGCTTTCCTCGAAAGTCCGGAGAAGGCACCGCTGGACCCTGCTGGAAAGGATGTCCATTAGGAGCAGCAACACGAGCCAGGGACTCGCCGTGACAAGTTCGGCTTCCCACGCCAGCTCCCTAAAACGCCAGCTCTCAAGCTTGCAAAGCGAAAGCTCAGAGAAATGGGAATGCGACGAGCCAGCCCAGCCCGAGTGTCCCCACTGTGCCCAACACACATCCGCAAGTGAGAAGCCACCCTCTCCTGCTCCAGGCGGAAGTCCTTGACCCCAAAAGGGGACAGCTGGGCCAAGGCCACTGGCTAAGGAGCTGAAAACTCCCGGTTAGCCTCAGGGCCTCGCTTTTCAGGGGACACACGGGAGCAGGAAGCAGGGTGAGCCCGTGAGGTGGATGCTCCAGCTGGGAGGCCCTTCTGCTGTATGTCTGACGTTTTCCTGAAGAGTTTAGGTGTCATCCCCTCTGCCTGAGAGCCACCAAATCTCTCCCTCCAAGCAAGTCCTTCCTGAAGCCCTCACCCCAAGTGCCCACCGCCCGCCTGGCATCCGTCCACGCACACGCGGGCACATGCGCGCACACACACGTGTTCACATGCCCCGCACCCACGTCATCCGGTCCAAGGCTCCACCCGCCACCCCCAGTGACCCATTTCCACCTCCCAGCTCCGCACCCCCGAGCCCACTGCCCAGCCTCCTCTGGGGTCTCCAGTAGGTTCTTCCAGCCTCGCTTGTCCAAGATCTGCTCTCATGGAGCCGCCACTTCAGCGGGGTGACACCTGCCTCCTGCGGCTCAGGCTTGAAACGCCTGGCGTTGCCTTCACCCCTCTTTCTTCCAAACCCCACATCTGGCCGATCAGCCAGTGTCGACTCGACCTTCCAAGTATGTCCGGAATTCACTTCTCTCCATTTCCACGGCCGGGGCCCCAAGCCCAGCCATTCTCACCTGTCTCCCAAGTGCCAGCCCTGCCCCGAGCCCTGCCCTCGTCCTCAGCCCCCAGCAGCACTGAGGAAGCGAAGCTGGAAGCACGCAGCAGCCCTCAGAGGAGGCCCGGGCCCTGGCTGCGCCCAGAGGCCTCAGCAGACAAGCCCACCCGCCCCTCCCCGGAGCACCGGGGCTCCCGAAGGGTTCGGCCGCCCTTGACCAGCATGCGGCTGTCCCCTCACTTCCATCCTGTCCTTGCTCTAAGGCCACCCTCAGTGAGGCCTTCCAAGAGGCCCCTTATTGCACGTCAACCTCCCCCACTCTCACACTGCCATCCCACATGCAAGTGCACACACACACGTACACACACGCACACGCACGCGCACACACACACGCACGCACGCACTCCTCACACTGCTGTCTCACATGCAAGTGCACACACGTGCACACACACGCACACATGCGCACACACGCGCACACATGCACACACGCACACGCACGCACACGCACAAACACGCACACGTGCACACACACGCGCACGCACGCACACGCGCACGCGCACGCACACGCACACACGCACACGCGCGCACACGCGCACACATATTTTCTAACATTCTCCGTATTGTTGTCTGGACTCAGAGCACGCATACATGCACACACACGCGCGCAGACGCGCGCGCACAAACGCGCACACACACGCGCACACACACGCGCACACACACATTTTCTAACATTCTCCGTATTGTTGTCTGGACTCAAGCCCCACCACCTGGCCTCTGTGCTTCTTTGTCCACAGCTGCGTCCCCACGGCCTGGCATGGCGCTAAGCATGCAGTCAGTGCTCAAAAACTGTTTACTGGGTGGATGCGTGCATGCGCACATATTCTAGCTGGGTGCGTGCGTGCATGCGCACGTATTCTAGAGACCTTGCCTCCAATTTGTCCCAAGCCAAATGCATACCCCTCAAGGTGCACCCCTCCTTTCGCAGTCTCCACTGCAGCCACACGGGCTCCACCACCCTCCGAGACCGGAGCCAGAACCAAAAAGGTTCCACTGGAAATCGTATGGCTGGTAGGTCTGGAGCCAGACTTCCAGGGGCCAAACCTCAGGTGCACCACCGACCTGGCTGCGTGGCTGCAGGTGTATAAAGTAGCTTCCCGCAGCCTCGGTTTCCCTGGCGGTGCAAGGGGCAAACGACGAGGAGTCAGTGACGTGACACGTGGGGGTCAGCATGCTGCTCTGTACGCTGGTAATTACTTCACTGGCTACTCCGAGACAGACATGTCACTCACACAGCCCTCTCCACGCAGACCACCACCCAAGGGAGTCGGAAGGCTCGAACGGCACTCTGCCACGGGGAGAGTGACATTTAAATCAGAGCGTCACCCTCCACGGAGGTGGTGGGAGTCTGCACGCCACACACAGTGTGTTTCCTATCTGATGGGAGGGTCTTGTCCAAAATCCTCTCAGGAGGCCCTGTGTGGCGGGGTGAATGGCGGTCCCCCAAAAATATATGTCTACACCGTCACCCCCAGAACTGTGCCTGTGGCCTTATTCAGAAAGAGTCTTTGCAGATGTGATCGCGTTAAGGATCTCGCGATGAAGTCATCCTGGATTTGGGACGGGCCCTAAGTCCAGTGACAGGTGTCCTGGTTCACAGGAAGGAGATGTGAAGCCCGCGGGTACAGCGGGAGGTGGAGGGAACAGAAGGCAGAAACGGGAGTGAGGTGACCACAAGCCAAGGGACGCCAGGCGCGGCCGGCAGCCTCCAGAAGCTGGACGCCAGGCGTGGCCGGCAGCCTCCAGAAGCTGGAGAGGGGCCTGGGACAGGTTGTCCCTCAGCCTCCGAGGGAGCCGGCCAGCCCCTGATCTCAGACTCCCAGCCTCGGGGCCGTGAGAGAACATAGGCGCCCTGCCCAGCGCCAGTGCTGGCAGTCTAGGAAAATGGCACCATCTTAAAGAATTCCGTTCCTTTCGTTTGCACTTTAAAAGAACGAGAGCAGATGGTGTGCTGTTTACTCGGGGAGGAGCAGGAGAGACGCCAGGCTGGGCGGAGGAACCTGTAGCCACACCTCTAAGCACCAAAGATGGGCGAAGGACCAGGCTAGATACAAAATCATCCTGAATGCAATTTTGGTCACCAGAATGCCAATCATTTAAAGTGACACTATTTTCAACACGTGGGGAGAAATACTAGGACTGGTAGGGAACACAGAGAAAAAGAAAAAAAAGTTAGGGTGGAATGGTATAGGTCCATTTTTTAAAAGGTATTATCCTTCCATGTTATATTTGAGTCTTATAATGCAGTATAGATGAATATATATCAAACATATATGGAGAGCATCATTATACTATACAAAACAGTCCCAGCCCCACCCCCACCTGAGAAAAATCATTTTCATAGACTGACCTCACAGGTGTCAGGAAGTCATAACCTGACAACCTGAGGCTTTAAAATGGGAAAGTTAGGGAGCAGCAAACCAACTTCTGGCCAGTCTTTGGTTCAGCCCCCTGTCATCCTGACTCCACCCGCTGTCATCCTGTCATCCTGGCTCCACCCCTTCCATCCTGGCCCCACCCCTTCATCCTGGCCCCACTCCTTCCATCCTGGCTCCACTCCTTCCATCCTGGCTCCACCCCCTTCCATCCTGGTCCCGCTCCCCTGCCCATCCATCTCCCAACTTCACGCAGCTGTGGTTATGAAGCAGGAAGATGAAAAGCCCAATGGCAAAACAGAAACGGAAGACAAGAGAGTGCATTCATCTCCTGGCGCCTTCCGGCATCTTTTGCAGGTTAAATGCACCAGATGGGAAAGGATCGATGTGGTAATTTGAAATTTGTTAAAAGTTGAACACTTGGCAAATTTTCCTAATAAAGCTTTATAGTAAAAATTTATTTGAAATAATACAAATTAAAGGCTTGCCAACAAGGCAGGAAGAGGAAAAAGATGATGGGTCAGGACCTTCCCCAAACAGTCCCAAACCCCAGGGACCAGGGTGGCCTCCTGGCTCCAGGGGAGGGAGGGCGTGGCCCGGGGCCTGAGAAACAGGATCCCCCTACTTTATCCCCCCTACCCCTGGAGCCAAGCCTGGGAGGAGCAGCCCTGGGGGACAAGCCGGCTCCCCAGCCAGAGCCTGTCTGAAGGTTCCTACCTGGTGTCACGGAGTGTCCAGCAGCAGGGGCTGCTAACGAGCGGTGGAGGTGATGTCCAGAGAGCCTGCTGCTGAGGGGAGAGGAGCTGGGAGAGAGACACGTGGCCTAGAGGGAGGAGGAGGGTATCAGCAGATGCAACCCTGTCCTTCCACAAAGACCGGCTTAGCAAATCTACCCTCGAGACCCGGAGAACGGGAGAAAAAAGACCGTGAGCCGCCTTTCCTCTGCAAAGTTCCCACCCCCATGGGAAGAGGAAATGTGGGGGCAGGAAACCCGGAACAGGGGACCCTAAGCAGACCTCTAAGTCGATGTCAGTGTGCAACTAACTCAATTTTGCATTTCCTCTTTAAAGGGAAAACACATTTAAAAAGTTCCCTTAACAACATTCGTCAACTAGCCGACAGTTCCAGTTTAGAACAGACATCCTTTCCTTGCGATCCAATTTGTTCTGGAAGGTTTCTCAAACTCCTCTTCCCTCAGAGTGGTTTCTAAGAGGATTAGCTTTACTGCAGTGTAGACACAAAACGGCCCGTCCTGTCACGGGGAGCCGGATCTTTATTTTTCTACCCACTTGAACCTAAGATCTGGTTCAGCCTGCAAACATCTGAGCGCAGGAAGCCCCATGAGAGCGCGTTTTCAAGGACGCTACCCCCTCCCTGTGTGCACACATATGCGCAGACACATGCACACGTGTGCATGCACATGTGCACGCGCACACACACACTCTGTGCCTTTCAGACGCACTTGTAACAAGAACCCATCCTGATGTGAACACCTCCTGCTTTTTTGAACTCAGATATAACAAATTAAAAAGGAATGACGGTGGATTTTTTCCCCATTTTGCAATGTCCTGTCCCTCTGCCACCTGAAAAAAAAAGGTCAAGCATTGGAACTCCTGTTCAAGATAACGCTGACCAAGCAGAGGGGGAACGCGGCCCGATGAGGCCCCTTCTCGCCTCACCTGGTGTCTGTGAGCTGGCCTCTCCAAAGCTCCTGGGCTCCCAGCAGAATCCATCAGATCACAGAGTTCTACAGCCGAGAAAGAAGAACCCCCTTCAGGCCAAAGGAATCCACAGGACGCATGGGCAAAGGCGGGGAGGAGAGAGGGGGTCATGGGCAAAGGCGGGGGGCGTTTCTAATTTTAAAACACTTTTCCTTAGATGAAAACAGGTTAAAATATTTGGGAGAAATACTGTGTAATTTTGCATGCAGATGCTAATTAACCTCAGGTTAATTCTCAGGCATGTTAGAATTCTCCTGTGGTTTTGGGGGGGCCCGCACTTCCCAAGCACAGGCTGGATCAGCCCCCAGGCCACCGTCCCTTACCATGGGCGAGCTGGCCCAGGCTACCCCATGATAGAAGCTGGCTGGGGGGTGCCCCTTTTCAATCCCTCACTCTCCATGCCTGGGGGAAATGTAGGAACCCCCATATCTGTCCCACCTCACACCAGAGTCTCCCCCTGCAGGCTTGACTCCTGGGGGTAAAGATATTTCTCCACTGGGGTCAATAAAGGGGGAGGTTGTGTGGGTCTCAGAGGCAGGGATCTCAGCCCCAGAGGGCGGGTACCATCTTCACTCTGCATGACAGGGACCCCTCATTGGGGTGGGGATGTGGGGGCGGGGATGGCGGGTGATGTATTCAGTCTGGAAGGGCAGGGACCCCTCACCCTCTCGGGGGGCACTGTCCTCACTTCCACAGAGCAGGACCTCCCACGCGCGATCTGGGCTCTGCAGCCTCAGGCGGGCCCCTTCTTGCTGGAGGAGGCACCACCCCCTCCTCATATCTGGGCTCACGCGGCTTTAACGGAGCCCCGTGGGAACGGCAGCTGCGAGAGCAGGTGGCAGCACCCAGCGCCGGGCAGGCGCACCTGGCCTTGCACCTGGGCACCCACCTGCCGGAGACAGGGTAGGCAGCAGCCTCCCGGCTCCCTGAGAAGCAGCCGCCACCCAGCCTCCGAGGTGGCAAGGTCTTGGGGTGTGAGGGGGACTCCGAGTAGGGGCGTTGTCACTCAAGTTGGGGCCCAGAGTCTGCTCAGGTGAGGCCTGGGGAGATGTTCGTTCAGAGCAGCTGGGGTGGGAACGCAAGGGTCGGGGGCGCAGGGCACAGGCTGTCACCGACCGCACTTACCTTCTGAATGGCATGTCCATTTTGTGCCCAGAGTGACCGTCCCTGAGCCCAGAGGGAAGGTCTCGCGGGCCAGGCCTGTGTGACGTCACAGGGGTCTCCATGGCAACGAAGCACGCGGCTCGGGGAGCTCGGCCCCCGCTCCCGGTGCCGCCCGCGGGTGTCCGCAGCGCGGCG